ATAGCAAGGAGCAGAAAGGTTAGACAGGAAGTTTAATACTTCGTCACCAAAAATTGAAAAATATGTAATTAGTGCCATCGACAATCAAAAATAAGTTAATTTATTCAGAATCCGGCATCAGTGTCTGATTTTCGAATCGTTATCTCCTAGTGTCTGTGTCTCCTAGACATGATTGTTGATCTGTACTATTTTTTCATGTTCATTGAGCTATTTTTACTGTCTTGAAGAACATTATTTTCTCATTTCTTCGGTATCTTACTATTACTAACTTAAATATGTATTGTTCAACTTTTTCCCATAAACGTTAACCTAAAAGTTCAGGAACAGCCACTGCTTCGAAATAAATATAGGGGAAATATAGTTGGTTTACATTGCATACTGACATTTGATTTATTTGCACAAAGTATTGAACAGTTTGTTTGGTGAGGTTCAAGTTTGAATATAACCTTCATGACGAAGTTTTTTCCAAGGGCTACATCATCAAACAAATTTTCGATCACGCCACCAAACCTTAGATTATAGCTGTGACTAAGAATGTTTTGTGCAAAAGTCTCGCATAATTTTGAAGGGAAGTTTGCGAAAGCTATATTTGCGCTGAAATTGCCAAAGTGTGCAGTCATTCTTTCACCAAAGTAAAAACATTTGATTGCAGATTTTTATTTCAGAATTTAATACAGATTGCATGAGACAATCATATTGTGCTCTTGTCATCATTGAAAAGCAACTTGGTCCTACTGAACCAAAAATACACTTATGTGAAGTCACTGAGATAGGACTTTTTGGGAATGACAATGCTATCCACATCTTGAGCTGGAGACTTGTATAGAGCAGGTGATTACCAGGCTTGTCCATGGGGCATCTATTTCTGTCCCATCCCATTTCATAGCAATTTATGCCTATCCCATCCCGTGGGCCGTGGGATACCCATTGGAATACAATTCAATAAAAATTGTTAAATTCATGTTTAGCGTCTACTAAATAGGACCACATGTAAGAAGAGACATGCAAAACAACAAAATTTACTGATATTATTAACTTTAAGTTCATAGCTATTATACATATGTCCATCGGCCCCTTAACAAAGAATATTGTTAATGCTGAATATAGTTTGCTCTTTATAACTAACAAGAAAGTTATACTCAAATATATCATTACGAAATGTTTTACCATCATTTCTCCGAAAACCATAAGGTATTTCGTGCCCCACGTGTCCCTTGGGAAATACAAATGTGTGCTATCCCATCCCATGGACAAGCCTGGGGATTACACATCAACGCCTATTCGAGAAATCGACTTGAACTATAGTGGGAAATTAGAAAATAAAAGTCTTTTTAGTCGCTAGAAAGTCATTTAAAATGGGTTTGTATTGATGCAAGGTACACATATCTGGAATATCAAAAGCATCAAAAATTAGAACGAGACTACGTTATAATGAAAGTTTTAGCTGTTTTATATCACAAAATCTTGATTTTGGGAAATTCCCTCATTTTCACAAATCCAAAATTTGAAAAGAATTAAAGGGATTTTCTCAATGTACATGTCAAAAGCTAACAGGAAATCTAGATTAAAAGCTGGGGACAAAAAATGTTTTTATTTTGTTACACAGTGTGATCCTTTTGAACAGATGCCACAGTCATAGAATGGGTGGGAGTATATGCATATGTGCTCTGTCTAACGTATGGGCTTTTTAAAAGAGGGGCACCTGAGTTCGAATAAGGTTTCCTTCAGGTCTGTGCTTGATCGAGTGTGACATAAGACTATGCCAGCTATCTGGACGGCTCTAACAAGTTAGAACTTCAAAGTTACAAAGAAATTCTGCAAAGTTTCCACCCGGATTTGGCGTGCGATTAACTATATTATATCGTGCATAAATAAACAGCATCCTTAGCTTTCAAGTAAACAGATTGACAACAATTTGATGGGATCTTCATTTGATCCCACTCTTACATACACGTATCATATGGCGATGAATAGTTGGACAGTACATGCTGACTGAGCTGCATATATCATTAGCCTTTATCACTTGGCTTTATAAGTCGGTCCATTTTGAAGAGTCGAATAAATGGTAGTATCTTAACCTAAGTGATCAACAGATCATTTCGGACGTGTTTCACTCCTATTTCACAACTAGCTTTACTAACTAGCCCTTTCACAGCTAATATAAACGCGAGTGAACAGAGCAGTGCATAAGCACCAAATCACTAAATGAAACACGTGAACAAATGAAATTCAGAGAACAGGAAAAGGTGCCAAACCAAATTATGAGGTAATTAAAAACAATCAAAGTGTCATTAACTTGGAAGTGGAAGCGGAAGAATAACAAAGCGCCAGAATGGAATCCAGGTAAATAAACCTCTAAACTGACATAACACAAAAAAGTGCAAAAATGTAAATCTTTGAAATTTTACCAGAACCGTTATGTATTTTTATATTCTATATCTATATGTCTAGTTTGTACAAGCCATATTTAAACAGTATTAGTCATGGATGGCAAATATGCAGGTATAGGCACAATTCCTAATCATTTTAATTCGACTTACTTCATCGTTGGTTTTCAAAAATACATGGCCGTACATGAGGCTAACGTTGAACAGAATGCTGTCAACTGTAGTCACGTTTCTGAAACTAAGTGGCGAACAAAACCCTGTTGTTCATAGACTTCATTTATGAAATAAGAAAAAAAGACTAAGCAACAGACTGACGAAACATTATGACCAGACGTGAGACCTAATCAATAAAGTATCGTCTTATAACTGACGGGTTCCTGCCAAAAGAATCTACTACAAGTGGTATTGTTAAAGTATCTCTCAATAAAAAAAAATACTAGTTAGTTGGCTAAACCCATGTCACATCGTTGATGGGTTGTTTTTGTTTTATTGCTGAATGGACTAATTTTATAATTTATATTATTGAGTAGATAGAATACAAGTATATTACAATTTCGTTACACGAACTTGCCCATCACTTTTGCAGCACGTATCACCGCGTTTGCTGCTTCTCTTGCGGACACGCATTGTTACCATGTCACAAAACGTGTCTTGGTCTTTCGGTTACATTTTTTCCTATTTCTGAACGGACGTTATATTTACCAAGCTTGGACATGGTATGCCAGTGGTATGAGACGTGATTTAACTTTAGTATTCGCTTGACGGATGATACCTACAGAACGATTTATATCTTGGCAAAGTCGGCAAAAAAGGAAACGTCAATCACAAAACCGTGTTAGTTTGTCTGTGCAGAAGAAATTAGGGAATTATCAAATGAGATCACCAAATTGTCGTAGTGGTCTGGTTGGACATAAATTAATTACTTGAGAAAAGGTAAATTACGCCTGCGCATGGTTTCTTTTGACTGCTTGTGAGGCATAATTAGGGTTTAACTAAAGCAGGTAGGATCAGAGGGAAACGTAATGGACGTAACAATTGCTATTGGTTTTTGCTAACTCGCGTTGAAAACCATGATAAAGGTAACAATTAGCTACGTGAAATTGTTATTAGGAATATTGAAGTAAATTATCCAAAACCAAGTATTCTTTATGATTGTGTTCAAAATTTTTGCGTAGGGAGCTCGATGGTTGAACCCGTTATATATAATGAGAACACTCTCGCTAAGGCATTGCTATAAATCCACCTTTCACGCAGGTCGCTGTTCCAAAATGGCTGAAATTGTTTCTGTCTTTGAGAATCTCTGATCGTAATCGCTAGTTGATTACAGCGTCATCAACCGTTCACGTCTCCATTTTAGCATCGCTTTAGATTTAGTTGCAAACACGCTATAACAACATACAGTAGCTCGATTAACGGGATATCCAACAATGCATTGAAAATACGAAATTTGCTATCTGGTCAGTTCGTAATGAGAAATGCACATGAATATACTTTGTTTCTAGAATTTTATTTATTTCATTTTAATTCAAATCTTTTGAATCAATTTATCGCTTTATATTATGCTTGAACTCCCCGCACATAGCTAGAACAATATACTATTTATAATATGAGTTATATATATATCCATATCGGTCATTCAATATGATATATATCGACTGTAACTAAACTTGAAAATAAGGAACGGTGACGAAATTCATTATTTACTGAAAAGTTAGCGAAATTCCCGAGTTGGAATTTGTTGCAAACGTTTTAGGTAAAAGACAATAGTTTTTCGGCAAGATGTAGAACATTTTAGACCGTCTGGTTGTATACGATGCTTTGGTGGTTAGGTAGATTTCTTACTTAATACACAAAAAGGTATTCACGTAATATCTAAGACTGTTCATTCTGCTTCCGGTCTGAAATATTTGTGGCAAGGTACCAAACACTTTGTGAGTAACCTAATTACATTAAATAAACTAGAAATCCTTCTATGACAAATAAATTATTTTTGTGATGAATCATATTACTAATTGTAAGCAAAAAATGTAACAGTAAAAATAATTCATATTCAACTTATATTAAATTCCTCAAATTACCGTAGTTGCAGTTCAGTTTATAAATTCAGTTAACGTCCGACCCATACAAGAATCTACCACTTTGAAGTATGGAGCTACATGGGCTGCGGAATTTTTTCGACATGATTGGGCATGACTGAGGCTGCCAAGTCTGAGCGTTTGCTTACAAATAGTAGGTTTTCGATACATTTCCAAGGGTTTTTAGTGTAAATCTGTTTGAAAGGGCTGAACGATGTATGGGTTTTGAAGATTCAACTGCAGACTGCGCAGTAAGCTTACATACTGGCATATATCACAATAATATGTGAGCAAGAATAAAAAATCAATCAAAAAATATTGGGCAGATTATGTATTGAATTTTAACGTAAAATACTAGTGCTACTCGCGCAAGGTGTCTGGTTTCAACATACCGGTAGTTCACCAAAGTAATAAAACGACGTTCTGATATCAGCTTGATTTTCTCTAGTCCTAGTTCAATATACAAGTATACATCAAATTGCTTCATGCTTTTATTTAACCGCTATATCTCGAATCAACTTTTAACATGACATTTCGTGGCGTGACATGATCAACAAAAAACATGGATACTCACAGCACGAAGTTGACTCCAACATTGGAATCATTTCCAGTAGATGACATGCATAATGTCATCGGCATGACAATCACTTCAATGACTGAAAACCGGGAAACATTCGGAGTTCGCGATGCTGACAAAATACGAAAACAATCGTGTTCTGACGCCCCGCCACTGTCGGACGTTGTTTGTCAATCTTCCATGACCGCGCTATCATTTTCTATTCCTGTCAGAGAAGTAAATGCGAAAGCCAATCCCGGATTGTTTCCTAATGACAAAACGCGCCTTCCTGGTGTCGCAGGAATATGTCTAACTAACGTTCAATGCAATATTAGTGATACTTTCAAAAGAACGCCTCGTCGCTGTAACAGCAAAATGAAGAGTAATAAAACACACTCACGAGATAAAAGTCACGGCAGTTTCTCCAAAGTTCCCGAAAAGTGCACGGTCAAAATATCTGCCCAGCAGAGCAAACAGAATCTGCCTCCACCAACAACAGGATTCAATGATGTTGGACAAATGTCAATAGCGTCATCAAGCATTGACCAGCTAAAGGCACTGACGTCAACTATCGACTCGTGCGCGGAGAATAAAGCAATTTGGAAAGGAAAGGTAGAAAATTATAATGACCGTACTCTGCAAGCTAAAAGCACAGCACTAGAGAATATTGTCGATATGGATGTCAGAAATCAAATTTCTCCAGGACGTGAAACACGTTTTAGTGTAATAAAAGAAAGAAAGCTATTCTACGAACACAGCTACAATACGGAGAACGGAAATAGAAAAATTAAAACAAATTTTCATAATAGGTCTGGTGGAGGTAAGTCGACATTGTTTTAAATTCAGTTAATGCAGGGGTGTACAACCTATCCATAGACTACCGCAATAGGTTTTTGTACTAGTAGTACAACCGCCAGTGAGATCAAGATCTTTTATGGGTTTTGTATGATTAAGGAATTAGTTTTTCATGATATATCTCATCCACTCTTGGTATTCATCCTTGTGCAGCTAACTCACAACCAGCGTCGCGTAGATTATCTTCAACGGCCGCAAATTGTGCATCTCTCTCTTTTTGGCAATGGTAAAAAATGACGCCGCTGTTATAGTTTTAATTAAAAGAAAATATTGTATAACTTCATGTTCAAAAAATAATTCTTGATTCACATCAATCAAATTCACATCAATATCGTGTATATTTTAGGTGCTCGATCGTAGTCTTGACGAAAAACCCAACATATATTGATAGCAATGATTGAGGTTACTATGACATCTTCTTAAAACTGTATATTGCGTAGCTAAGTTTTTGAATGAAAAATTGGATACTGCTATATATAAACATATCTTACAATACTCGTAACTACTCTAGAATAACCTGACTGTTTTTAACTACGCAGACCATGTTTTATGTATTAGCTTCTTTACAATTTCAACTGGTGGCCGTACATTTTAACCCACGTACATTTGAACCCATACATTTGCACCCGTATATCCGTGGGTTCAATCTATATGAGGGTGCTAAAATCCATGGGTTATGGTTAGTATGGGTTCAAATATCCGTTAAAATGAAAAAATTCCATAGGTGCAATAGTATGCAGGTGCAATTGTCGTGGGTTCAAATTACAGGTTTAAATGTACGTGGGTTCAATTGTAACGGAACCATTTCAACTATACCCATAAGCCATAACCAGGCAGAACTGACGTGCAAATGTTCCGTAATTGATGTATGCTGTTAAGCGAAGTTTATTTTAGGCATGTTGGTCTGATTTTAATTCAGCTTTTTGAATGAAGATTCTTTTTGATGTATTTTGAATTTTATGGCATTTGCTTTTATTTGCATTGTTTAATTTTGTGGGCTCGCACCGTTTGTCCGGTTTTCGTACGAGCGCATGTTTCCATATGCTATTCTAACATATGAATAGCGAGCATGCATACTTTCCCTGTTAATTTCGTGAACAATGAAAACGCGTGCATACTCGTTTCCGTTTCGTCATATGAATACTTGATGGCCTTAAAATTAGCGCACTTTAATTGCACCAAAATGTGTAGTCAGACACCAAAGAGGTCTCACGTTATTGTAGAACAGAGTAGCTTGTGCTATTTGATCGTGGTTTAATGTTGGCTGCAGTCATTGCAATTACTTCTTGAAGAATTGGAAGAAAGATTACAATTCCGCCAAACGCGTGAACTGCCGATAAAGTAGAGTTTTGTTAATTCAAAGGTCATCTTAGAGAAAATATCACCTCACCCCCAACCTGAATTTTGTGCAAATGCTGAATTGAATAAACGCGACCGCATGTGAATACCCTCATTTTTTGAAGTTCAAGAAATAAAAGAACGGTTTGAATCGGTTGAACTGCATGATTTATTCAATGAAACGATTGCTTTACAAAATGTCCAATATTTCAAATTGATTCAATTCAAGACTCAATTCAGACTCAATCTTCTATTATAGTTCCTAGTGTTAATGGCAAATTTACATTCCCAATAAGTCAAGTCAAGTTTATTTTTTCCAAATAGTGAAAAACAAAAAAAACATGCAAAAATATAAAGAAAAAATGATATTTAAATTACTGGGGAAGGGAAGCCGCGGGGAACAAAAACTGGTTATCGAGCTGCGACACCCAAGGTTCTAACACCTAGTTTGTCAGATCGGGGAGAAGAGTTTCAACGATTAGATACCATATAAATTTTACTAATTAGCTAACTAATTTCAATTGTTATATATATAATACTAGAAATTACCGTGCATTAAATGTGCCAATAATTAATGAATACTATCGAATATTAATGAAATTACATGTATTTTAGGTTTTCGACGCCCTGGGGTATTTCAGTCTAACACGCTTTCAAGTCCCGAGTCAGTTGATTCCGGATTTAGTGACCACGGTGAAGGCATGTGGAGCGGTAGCACCTCCATTAGATCAGCTGCTTCATACCACGGACAAGTAAATGATTCTTTACAGCAACCACATATGTTCAATCCTTCACAACAGGTGAATGAGCTTACGTTAAATGCCTTTTATTTGAACATTGGTCGTTGTGAGTTTTGCTGTGATATTGCCATCGGTTAAATCGACTGTTATGAGCTTCGACAATACTTATCTCAATTTTTTAATCAAATGGATGAATAAAAATTTACATCTGGAAATTCTGAAACATGCCAAACAGCTAATATGAACAGAACCAGATTTTATACATTCAATCAATTGTTACCTTTATGAGAAAAGAGTTTGGTTGCGTTATTCCCCTTTAGGCATATGAGAATTTAACGGTATACGGACGTTTTACCATCAGCACAGCGGTATTGGTACATTATTACAATGTTAGTACGTCGTCTGAAAACTACCATGTTCAGCAATTATAAAAGAATATTCATTCGATTTCGACTACATGTTCGTGTTGAGTAAAAGTTAAACAATCCTTCAGCTTCCTTGGATATATGTGTAAGAGCTTGCCCGTAAACAGGAAATAAAAATTGGAATAAATGACATTCATCCGTATGGCAGTGTCTGGTAATATCCAGGCTCCTCGTACGGTTACGTTGAATCGAGGAAGATGATTTCCTTTTCACATGTTCTGTAATGCGGTTGGCATCAAATTGCCTTTCAGTACTTGTCTAGCCGTTCTACGAAAACTTTCAATTAAATATCACATACTAATAAAAGCACGCTTAAAAGATAGTCGCATGTTACAATATGGAAATAATAGATGTATTGTGGATTGAGCTACTTAAACTGAAATTGGATGATTTAATTGGGAGTTGGAGGGTTGCGAAAGCCATATGTTCAAATTGTTATTACCTCGGTTGTTTAATTTCACAATGTATGATACTTATGAAATATCTGCGAGTTCTAATAAAAAACGATGATGATGATAATGATTATCGGAACTGCAGTGAAAAATTAAAATCTATACAAAAAATACCAGCACTTATATTTGCATTCAAACATAAAAATCTCCAGTGTTTTTTTCCGAAGGTCGTATCGAAGCGTAATTTATTTTCTGTTTTATTTTAAAGTTTTTCGATACGGAACATCAGCCAAATTGTGGGGAAACAAACTATGAGGATTACGATGCATTTTCGTCGATGGTGGGATATCAATATGATCCATCTTTTTATTGTTCAAATCTCGACAATAATAATAACAACTTCAATCAAAGCTATGAATCGAAAGCTTCGTCTGTTTCTCTTTCCAATAACTCTCACCACATGAATACGCCAGAACAATTCAATGAAAGCGTACCAAATTTGTATTACCCATCATACCACCCAACTTACGAAGAGGAGGAACATTGCGAAGCCGAGTACTTCACGCCAGTCTCTCTTAAACATACTGATGACTACAACGTATCAACACTGCAAACGTTAGTATAGTTAATTTTTGAAAGCACAAAATATTATCATAATTTAAAAGACTGGATGTAGCTGATCAATATACAGACTGTACCGCAGTACCTTTACAAGTTCGTCTTAGACCAGTGGTTCTCAACCTTTTTAGTTTACGGACCGGTAAAATTTCAAAACTAATTTTGCGGACTGGCTAACCTTGAAAATCAACCCAAATTGTCAAAAACACAATACATCATTAAACGAGTGTAATTGCGACAAAAGTATGCAACTTAAAAGCAGACAATTCAACCTAAGGATAAATTTGCTGCTGTCTTTTTAATATCATTCGGATTTGGATTTAAAGGTTTTATCACTGAGCTCAGGATATTATTTATTGAGCGATATACAAAACTGTGACAAATTCAAGTCTTTATGCTTTGACATCAAAGTGGTATCGCTGGAATGTTGAATCATGGATTCTTCCTCAACTACGTTAAGATTGTACGAATTAATATCCTTTGCAAAGGCAATAACAATCCAAAGGTTTCTAAGACGGGCACTGACATTTTTTCGGAAAATATTTGCAAAAACTAAATTAAACTGCCAAATTACGGAACGCGCGAGCTTTTCAACCAGTTCAAAATTCAACAAGGCAAGTACTATTATGCTCTCGAACTATTCAGTTATGATGTCATGAACCTAACGAAACATCCGGCCGTTCAGGACTTGAAAGTGGTGTAGGACCTCTAAACAGATTTGTTTACGCATTAATAGGAGTTTAATCTCAGAAAATAATTTGATCAATGTCTTGCATTTTGCAATTGAGATATAATATTGTAATATATTTGGCGGACCGTCAGAAAGGGACGCGGATCACTGTCTTGGACACCTTTAACACATTTTTGTTTTTAGATCATCTGGTGTAAACTGCAATCAAAGTAATATGTCTAATGAGCAACAAAATCGGACTTTCGTTGAAATTGGAGCGTGTAACTCTCAGTCTACGATTACTTCCGCAAATGTCAGACAAAATAGTTATCAGTCATCCCAGGACCAAACAAGAACTTCTCCATCGTCGTCTGTGATTAGACATTATATTCCGTATATGTTGAATCCCAGCAATACGAATACTGGCCAACTCCAAAATATCACCGAGAAAGAAATTCAATATGTTACGAGTGATTTTAATCGAAAAGGGCATGATAGCTTCGAGAAAGAATTATACATATCATCAGAAGGTAGAAAACTCAGAGAAACAACGAAACTTGTGCCTTGCGCAGCGCATACCGTTCTATCACGTGTAGCGGCAAACGATATGTTGCCTCGGGAACCGTTTTTCGACCCAATGCCTAAAGAAAACTTTAATAGAAATAATTCTTTTCCGTCTCTATCAATGACACCCGAAGGGCCACAGTATATTTCAAGCGATAGTATGCCACCTCTTTCTCCTAGTCCCGCCACGATTTTTCGGAGGCACAGCGTTGGTAATTATCAGTATTCTACCGAATGTTTTACACATCCGCATAACGATACAAAATCTCCAATCAGGATCCCACAACGTCACCCATATGACAAAATATCAATCCCTTCTTCAAAAGTATCTCGAGCTCACCTAACACCCCATATTAACACAGTTCAGGCTCAAGTGAACCCAATAATACCAATACAGGACTTGACTGGATATACAGGTATGTGTTGTACTTGTTTTATTTTCATACTAACCAGTTTCTAATTTCGAATATAAAGATAACGTAGCGCGTAAACAAAACGTACAGATAGATGGTTGATATATGCCTCTGCCCTCTGGTATAATTTTTATTTATTTTGGCGAGAGAAGGCGACAGACAATGGTAAACCATGACTCGCACTAAATACATCTGGTACCAATTTGTCATCTTTGCTTTCCCGGTACATGCTATAAAACAGTGAACATGCTACTAAACGCGCGCTGTAGCAAAATCCAGTATCAATAACATTCTTTTTATTTTACAGGTAATGGACCGATTCAATTATGGCAGTTTCTCCTAGAGCTACTCTGTGATCCAGCGTGTAAAAACTTAATTATGTGGACAGGTGAAAAATGGCAATTTAAGATGATCGATCCTGACGAAGTAGCAAAGTTAGTCAGTCGGCTTCATGTTTTCCAATTTATGTTAACATAAGAACGATAATTCTGATTATATCGGTCTGAGTAAACAATCTTGAATCTGTTTTATTAATTGATGAAAATTTTTCATTTTTTCATCCGATGTGGGTCGTTCAGCGTTTATAGAAAAGTATCTATTATTCTTTCATTTGTATCTATAAATACCCATGCATATACACCTTTTGCAGAAATACCTCCGAACAATGCTATGATCACATTTTTCTCAACCTATCTATTCAATGAATAAAATTCATCCGTGTTTAGGCAATCAAAGCAAATGTAATATGTATTTATTCATTTTAATTCGATCCAGTTTAACAACACTCAGTAACTTTATCACAAATTTTCAACAATCTTGACAAACTGACGCTGCCTGATGTTAGCACACAAACGGCATGCTTGAGAAGTGACGGTATTTCTTTTAATATGAGGGTTCCTTGGCAGGTCGAATCGTCAGTAACATTAATTGATGACAAACTGTCACGTCTTTGTTCCGAAAAAGTAATTTCCTAACTTGAATAATGCAAAATAAGAAAATTTCACTAATCGTGCCAGATAACCTGGAAACTAACTGAACGTCGTCAATTTAGTCGAAGAAAATATGAAGTACTTCCATATAACTATTCTTAGTGAAACCATCAGGAATGGAAACCTTCACGAATGAACACTAACTCAATATAATTCTTAATTTGCTAGAGGTTGGGGGATTCGTAAAAACAAGCCGAAAATGACATATGAAAAATTGTCTCGAGGAATACGATATTATTATGACAAAGGAATAATAATGAAATGTCCAGGAAGGTAGATGTTGTTTCTTTCAATCTTTGTCAATGTTGATTTATGTCGATGCAAAATCGATTAAACTTCAAACATAATTTTAGGTTTTTCGGAACGTATGTGATAATACTTTTTTTCTAAAGTTTGTTGAATTCAAGCACACCGAAACACTTTTCCCCTGAAATAAATTTTATATTAAATAGTTCGTCGTTTATTGTATTAAATTAAACCAAGTAATCCGGTTACAGGAGATATGTCTACAAATTCGTGAACGATCTGGAAAACGTTCTCGGCCATAGTCCAACTCAACTACACAAAATGTTGGGAATCACAACCATGGATGATGAGAAAATGAAAGAGCGCGAAAACAATGAAATTATATTACAACGTTTCACTGAAGATAATCAAGTAAAGCCAACAAGAACAGAGGCTTCCGCCGCTTGTTCGTCCGCCAACGAAGATATAATAAAAAATGGTATCGCCATTTCTAATTTTTTCATCCAAATGCGCTCGAAAAGTAACTTTTGGCACAGTTAATTGCTGCCAATGTCTCGGCAAAAGAAAGTCGCTTTCTACCTTATTCAGATATCAGTGATTTTGTGTCATACTACCGTAATTTACCTTATACACAATTCGGATTCGAAACTACAATCTATATCGCTTTGCCATTCAATTTTTGTTTCATCGGCATTTGAGACGAGTTATTTGGTGAAAATACGCTTCGGCAACACAATTGAAGTCATTATCTCAATATTTCACCATATATCTCCATCATTCAACGACCTCATCCAAGGTTATAAACCCAAACTATATCGCGCGATGGAGTTATTTCCGGAGCGCCGTAAACCGAATATGGCGTGTCATCATTGACTTTTATTTCTAAAAAATTTGCTTTGTATGTTTTACTGTTTAATTGACGCAGTCGTGACTCCCCGTATTGGATCAAATGTATAAAGCACACATTCAGCTCAATGCAGGAAGTGAAATCCTTTGTTGTAACGGGAACTGAGTTGACACAAAGTTGAAAATTTTAATGTCGATGGATGTTTTCGTAGTTCAAATTTACTTTTGCAATGTTTCGGATATCTTGTTTCATAACAGGCTTCGCTGACATATTTCTTCATTTTTATGTTTCATTTTTTTTATCTTGGATAATTTCTTCTCTTTCTTGATAAACTGTGCTTCGGCCAGCAATCAACTTTGATTTCGACATTTGAACAGGTATTCAAACGGTAATACATAACAAATAAAATCTATCAGTCAATTCTTCACTTAGATCTAAAAGAAATTTTAAAATGCCAGAATCCACTAAATACCTTGTATTTCTTTTGCATTGAAAATGAATTTTACGCCTGCTTTAAGTCTTGCAATATTCGATATTTACTAACGCGCAATTTCAAACTATTGTCTTGTACGTGTCTCAGCTCAGTAGCTCTTGGTATTTTAGTGATCGCCCTAAACTTCGAGTTCTGATTGCTGAAAATAATTTATTTGCAAAACGTGTTTTTGACAGTGGGATCATCTGATGATATCCTTCTGCATATATACTTCATACTGTTACCATACTGCAGATGATAATCAAAAAGATATTAATGAATACTTTTTATACAGGTTGTAATCAAGAAACATTGGATTTTCTCGCTACAACAGCGATCACAACAAATTCGTCTGCTGGAAGAGGCGTTCCTGTTATAGCTTCTGTTACCAACCCCCCAATGACCAATGGTGCTTTTAATGAGCAGAGAAAAGCGTCTTTTTCTGAGAACTTTGAGTCAGAAAACATTATTTCTGCAGATACGCCTGAGAAACCTGCATCAACATGTTGTGTCGATTCCGAAGAAAAAAGTCTGAACCAGACAAATTCTACAGGATGTGGTAACTCTTGGACATCTCAGCACGACTCAAGCACAATCGACACTGATAACTCTCGTAGCAGTGCCAGTACATCTACGTCTTCTTCATTGATAATTGCTTAGATAGTTTAGACTTTTTTTTCGAATAGTTTCAATACATCGACAGTGCCTATGGCAGACTTGCCTTTTTCTGATAATTTTGAATTGTTGGCGTTGGGAAAATATCTGAATAATCACAAAAATTAAAAACTTGGCATTAAAATTTCATCATGTTTCAACTATAGTTCCCGAGATTTGCAGGCATTTTTCAAATGGTGTTATTTTTCGTTGACGTTTTAGAGAGACTTTTGCACTTTCATAATCGTATTCACACTCACTCTGAACATGGCTCATGACAAACATCAACTCGTAGAACGAAATTTCACTGTTTGGTATTGCTTGTTCAATGTATTACATCCTAGCTGACGTATGCTATCATGAAATCCAGCATAATCACATCCAACGCTGTAACTTTCCAGCTGTGTGATGCGTCACCATTGTTTGTAGTGCGATGGTGTGTAGCCAATTAGACCTGGAACAATATTGGATACTAGCTAGATACAGTTTAATAAAAACTATATTGTTTTGGACTATTATCGACATAAAAATTGTGATCTCAGAGTTATCAAATGTTTTAGGCCTACGCACACGAGGGAGAAATCACTCACGGAGCGCTAATAAACTTATAAAAAGCTCGTTAAGGGAGAATTGCAATAGAACAACTAATTCACTTCGTGAAATGTGACAAACATTTATTTGTCATTCGTCGAATTCTGATGAGCACAACTGACAGATGGACACAATCACACTGCCCAGCAGAGTTGTGATAATTGTGTTTTCTAATCTTGCATTTACCATTTGTGGGTAACTATGGCCATTACTATGTAACTATGTAATTATCCCAACAAGCTCATATATCTCATTAAATTTTGAAATTAATATTTTGATAATAATAGATAGATCGTGTCGCAAGCCAATATAGTTAGACTCAACGCTCTAACGGTTAACCGATAAGCCATCATTGCCAACTTTGCCAAAATTTCAATAAAAGACTGATATTTCTGATTGATAAGACTTATATTTCAACTGTGAAATATAAAATAGGTTTTAGATTAATTAAGAGCTTAACTCTAAATATGAGGAAAAAATTTAAACTATTCGTTCTGGCTCTTCGTCGGATTCAGCAACTGCTGATCAAGCTTTGTATACTCTGCTACACCTGCGACGACTGAAAGCATGTGTGGAAGTATTTTGAAAATATTAAAAAACTTATGATTGAAACTTTTTAGGATTGTGTACCACTTGCTGCTTGTCGTTTTGCAATATACAAGTGGTGGAATCATGCTCAATTTTCTTGAATTAGTGGGATTTCATCAAGTTTTAATTCTACAATTTTTTTCCTTTCTGCAGGCCTTAGATTTCCTCATATCACAAATGTTGAATTTTCATCGAAATCGAACTTTCCCCTAAATATATTATTGCTGCATTGAAAAATGATCTACCGTCGTCAGTTTTGCAAGTTACCACGTAATCTGTATTTGTAAGAGGTTGATGTGTATTATATCCAATGAATTTTTGTTCCTATTGGTATTTAAACTTTTTCTCAAATTAGTCAAAACAATAAAAACATCTGATGCTGATGTATCATTTTCCACCAGTTCACATTATCTTAGCACGGCGGGCACGCGCACTTCTATATCTCGTCGCTGTAAACATTACAAATGAACTTGATCAACTTGTGGTTGTCCTCGTAGACTTCCCATCAACAGCAAACTAACGGGACTGAAGGTCATTGTATTAACATTAGTGGTTTTCAATCTTTACCCTCTTGCCTCAGCAGAGCAACTTTGCAAGTAACTGAACTCCAAATGAAGCATACAGTGCGTAGTATGTATCTACCGTGGACGAGACGGAGAACTCTCTACCACTGCTTTATCATGTTGTGGTTACCAAGCTCTGCTGAAACTGCAGATAGGCTTTTTGACAGAAATTTCCCAGCCACGGGGACCAAGACCCGGCCTGTAGGCTCATCCTCTCGAACCGCTGGCCTAGCAGCCTGTACAAGATTTGGTATCCGCCGCTATGAGTAGTTAATAATTCAATGTAATGAATTGAAAAGAAGAACTCGCTCTCTATTACGAAATATATCTCATCTATATCAAGGGCGGAAACAGTAAAAGGCGTCCGCTAATTTACATCCGAGAGTCTTTTTTTTATAAGTATATTGTTTAAATATAATCAAGTAACTATTAGAATTGCCACTGTTACTAAACTTGCTACACTGAAGATCGCTTTGTTTTGCCGGTAATAGGCTTAATTTTATATGTATATATAGTTTATACAATTTGTACCGTACATTAAACCCCTCTAGGATCCTTTATGTTTAAGCAATGGGCAAAATCTGATCTTTGGTGGAAGAAATACTTTTATGTCCCTATTGATAATTATTTTCAAACTTTGTCACTCCGACTTCCTGAGTGAATTTACAAGATTTACCCCTTTGAAAAATTTTACAAACTTTACGCCCCCCCCCCCCTTTTTGTCTTCAAAAAAATGATTTTGTGATGGGCAGGTTGCTTTATATTTATTAAGATAGCGCTGTAAAAGTGTTCGTCTCATAGCGTCATTGCTCAGGCATCGAAGGCATTGTTAAGGCATAAAAAGGCATCGAAGTACAACTTTGCCATTCACTGTCGTATGTATAAAACCATACTCAAATAGCGGTCATCATACATTCTCCTTTTTCCGCTCAGTTTGCAATACCTGGTAAAGTCAAACCAAGTTAAACTAAACACACAATTAACGTATGCTTTTTGCGCTTTAATGTATTTTCTGCTTTAACGTGTACATAAGACACGTAAAATTCCAATCAATTGTTTAAATCATCACTACTGAGCTATGCAAATACCCATTTACTGCGTGTTAAAAATACACAGCAATTACAGACTTCTTGGCTTGCCTAACGTCACCGAAATTTATGCCAGTACCTTTGGACAACCACAAGGTTCAAAATTTAGCTCAAATTTAGTTCATTTTTAGCTTAAAGAAAAGGAGTTCATTTTTTAATAGTTATTATCAATGTTCCCTCTAATTTTTGTAGTATGTGTGCTCAGAAATTTCAGTGTGTGCGCACTTTTTTGGAAATGACTAATATTTGTGCAAAAACCAATGAAGAAATTTGGCGTTCTAACGGGGTAATAAGTGGGCCTCTTAAGAAAATTTTGGTTATTTAATAAGTTTTTCTATAGATTATAAATGCTTTAGTGAAGGCTATATGTTATCAGTAGATAACAATGAACATACATGGAAAATAGTAAATGAAATTGATTGTAACAGATGGTTTCATTTGAATTCAAATGAAGGGTGAAAAAAGAACAAAAGAACATTGTTACATTACATCGAAATACGTCTGTGCGCAGTAAATCTATGCGTGTGCGCAGCCTCTGAAAGCTGTGTTAGAGGGAACACTGGTTATTATGCATGTGGACGTTTCCCTGGCTTTCAACCGCTGAAAAAAAAGTCGCTAATGACATTTGCGATTGAATTTTATTTAAATCTCAATTGTTTCCGTCAGCGTGACGGACCGCGACAGATTAAAAACACTTTCTTAGACATTGCAAATAAATAATATACATCATAAATTCCTTGTGCACACCTGTAGTGTTCTAAAACTATCGACTCCTATCGACTAAATTTTACTCCGTGGGATTTTATCACAGGCTTTGGAATTTTTCTAACGGTAGTATCTTAAAAGTAATCGAGTGGCAGCATTACGATGGAGCGGAGTAAGAGTTGCTGGGACAGCTCATATTGGTGTAATTTGCAAGAATACGAATCAAACCAAAATGTAATCGGGCACTTTGCCACACATTTTTATGTCCGAGGATTGCCATGGGATTCTGGAGTAGTGGTGCCTTTATTTTATCGACGCAATCGCAGATTTAATTTATCACAATTAAATAAATAAAGCAGCCATTTTAAATATATATGTCGGTCATATGAATTAATATTTTATTCAACAGAAAAACCATTACATATCCGAGGAAAGAAGTCGGCCCTTTTAACGAGTGGCGTTATCTCGACGACTGACTCAGGAGACGTACCGCGGGGATTTCGAGTCGATGAATATGTATTATTTCATATACTAATATACTTTATATATATGTATTTTCAATATACTAAATTAAATGTACTTTCTGGAATTTTATACCTTTCTAACGACGATAACGAATTCGCATGAGCGAAATATATATCAAAACGAAGTATAATCGGGCAGTTGATCACACATTATTATGTCCGCGGATTGGCGAGGTATTTTAGACCGGAAATGGGTTTATTTTGTCGTGAGGCGCCGCAATCGCGAGTTACAAACACAAATGAATTAAAACAGAAAGACATTTTGAATTCTTGTAGTTAGGAGCCGTTACATGGAAATTTCCGATTCCATCTTGTGACCTCCCGCACAACATCGAAATGGAGCGCATCTTTCGAAGGTAACATGACCGGTATGTATACCACGATGTTATTAATGGGAACAGTCAAACTTCCATGGCTCAATTGAGAAAAGATTGAGATTGAGAAAAGGCGCATTAAAAGGTAAATGAATGTTATTATATTATACAGATCATGTTTTTGCACTCCAGTTAGTTTGTTCAGTCAAAATATTTAGAAAATGCAAGTTGTTCCTTGATACTTTCGCTTACCTATTCCTTCAAAATTAGTTTGAAACCTTAAAATCTATTATAGAAAAATATAAAAAATATAGCCTTTAAATCGAAATTATTATGTATTTACTTGATGTTATGTATTTCATCAGAGAAACAACTTTTAGCGTGAAAGCTACTTTGATCACGCTACACTGCGAAACATTAGAAAGTAAATTTTTAGTAGCAGAAATACAGTTGGCAATTTGTTAATTTATACACGGTTTTACGATTTCGGCAGACTTTCGTTTACATTTATCGGTCGGGTCTACCCGCCTTCTGGAAGACGCCACGAAAAGACGGCCAGTAGTAGCTTTCTGCTGCATTTGTGTTGAAGCTAATTCCATTTTTGTGTATACAATTATTGTTTTGCTCAGAAATTAGTATAGATTGGTTCATGAGAGGTCTGCAATACCAATATGGTGTTCGTCAAAAATGCAGAGAAAACCTGTGGTCCCCGAACGTTGAATTAGCGTTTTTGTTTCGCACGCACCCGTGCGAACTTCCCAAATCCAACAACCATAATTGTATTGAATGCGCATTTGTTGTATCTTCCCAAATTGATGGGAAGACCCTTCTTAAATGCTGAGCTTGAGCTGTTCCCAGTTTATTACGATTTTTGTAGACTAAATAAACATGAGAGTAAAATAATGTCCAGGGTACGAAATAACGTCATCACGTTGAAAAGCATAATAATATGCTTACATCCCAGGTTAGTAATCTCAAGCCGGACTTGATAGGAATTTGTTACATTATAAAACAGCAATTACCAATGCGAAGAACAGGATTTGACCCCTGTTAATATTATCAACTGGTCCGAGAATTATTTCTTCTGCCATAGGATAGTTCTTGTGAGGAAAGAATCATTCGAACGTTTAACGAGAAACCATATAGACTTGGTGCACGAAACTGCGTTAGTTATATATAAAGGAAATAAAGGTATAAAAACAATAATTCAGAAAGTACAACCAAGTACTTTACTCAAATTTAACCTTACTACCAAGCCATGATGGGCTGTGGTACGTAGTATATTTACTATATTAACTTGAGAAGATGAAGGTCATGTCACGAATATCACTGAGCTTTTGATGTATCAACGTACGTAAACACTATCGTCTAAGAAAGGAATACCTTGCTCAAAACCAAATGAATCGACTAAAAATCTTATCTGACTGAAGTAAACAAAAACAATGCCCATTCCCACGATAGCTTATTTGCGTGATGTCTGAAATGACTGACCTGAATTGACCCGAGTTTCAACCGTTTTGAGTACAGGTAGTTATTCCTTGGATACTTTGAGCAGAAATCTAGGACAGCGTTTCGCTTCTCTCATTCAGTCACAGGAATGTGTGATGACTAACGGGTTGTTTGTGATGACTATCTGTACTTGTCAACAATATCGGTGCTTTATTTTGATGCAACGTTAATGTGAGGAAATCACGTTTGGTAACGTTACTCGTTAGTAAAACAAAATTTCGAAATATAATGGAAATGAGACATGATTTGGGCACTGTTCCAAACGGAACCCAAATTAGGTGAATTGGTGAAAGTCAAGCAATTGCTCTCATTCCACGAACTATACTAATGGCATACAAAACATGAACACTTGTTATAGCGTTTCTATTCAATTGAAGAAGCTTGCTGAACACTAACACAAATGTATTTCTGCTATAGCGAGTTGTTTTTCATTATTTCTTTAGTGAACCTCGAATAATCACAAATATCGTAAGGAGGCCGTTAGGCAATTTTTTCTAAAACGTTCGAGAACCACTGGTATAAACCATGTAAGCGATTTATTGCGAACAAATTATCTATCGCAAAAACGCCCTTTTCATTCGATAGATCCCGTATAGCTAATACGCTTGCTAC